CTCCATTTCTTTTCATGACTTGCTAGCTCATTTCTTTATAGCGTTAAATAATATCCCATTGTCTGGAATACCATAGTTTATCCATTCACCTACTGAAGGACAAATTTTGGCAATTATGAATAAAGCCGCTATAAACGTCCATGTTCAGGTTTCTGCGTGGACATAAATTTTTAACTCCTTTGGGTAAATATTAAGGAGTGCAATTGCTGGATCATATGAAAGAATATGTTTAGTTTTCTAAGAAACTGCCAAACTGCCTTCCAAAGTGGCTGTACCAGTTTGCATTTCCATCAGCAGCGTGTTCCTGTTGCTCCACGTCGTTGCCAGCATTTGTTGCTGTCAGTGTTCCGGATTTCAGCCATTCTAACAGGCGCATAGAGGCATCTTATTGTTTTAATTTGCGTTTCCCTGATGGCATATAATGTGGAGCATCTTTCCATGTGCTTATCTGCCATCTGCATATCTTCTTTGGTGAGGAGATGTTAAGGTCTTTGGCCTACTTTTTAATCAGGATTTTTGTTTTCTTGTTGAGTTTTAAGAGTTCTTTGTGCAGTTTAGATAACAGTCCTTTATCAAATGTTTCTTTTGCAGATATTCTCTCCCAGTCTGTGGCTTGTCTTCTCATTCTCTTGAAACTTTCATAGAGCTCGAAAATATTTTCAATACTGATGTTACTAACCCCAGTCCCACTCTGTTTCCCCCTGCCTTGAAAATAACCTTAGAAAATAACTTTCTGATAATCATTTTCTGGGCATATTATTTCTCCCATATTATTTCAAGAAAATATTTAAAAACATTATTTCTGAAATAGAAAAACTATAGATTTTAAAACACTTTATTAATTTATAAATATATGGCAGTTGAATTGAGACCATTTTAATTTAGCATACTTATAACCACAAATGATAAAATGTATAGCTTTTTAACATTTTACACATTTAGGCCATCCACTTAAACATTTTACCTGACCAGTTAGCACTTACACATCTAGTCTTTAAACAGAAGTACTTAGAAAAAAATGATGTTTACACCTTGCAAATTTTAATTTTTAAAGTTTTGCTTAGAAAGGCCTCTTTTCGAATATATATGTGACTGTCTTCTGAAAACTAATTTTTATACCCACGTATTTATAATATATTTGTCCATACTAAGGCTCCAAGGTAAAAGCTGATTTTTAGAGGATACTGATCCCAGTTTGATGAACACTACATTTGTTTGTTTACTTGATTGTCTTCCATCCTTCTTTCATCCTCCTTTTTAAATCAACTCATCCAGGGACGGTGAAGTCAGAGAGCATTTTGAGATCTAGTCTCACATACTGCTTAAAAGCTGAACATGTATCCAGTTTTTGCCCAGAAAGCCACTCATCCTCCGTCTAGCAGTGGAGGAGGAGGGGGCATCTCTAGAGCCTGTCCCATCCAGAATATTTACTACACCATGTGATAAGATTGGAGCACAGTCCCTACCCCAGGCTCTTCCCTATGGATTTATCTTATGATCTATAGCCTCTACCTCCTTGGCGAAAACCTTAAAGAAAAAACAAAAAACTGGATGTCAGGCCAGCTGATGCTCCATTTTAACCTTCTCTAGGTATTCACTGGCCCAAACCGGAAGGAGCGAGGGGAATATTGGTAGATTTCACTGATGTGACAACCCCCACCCAAACTTCTTTTAGAGACCCAACAAGCTCATGTAACAGACTATCCAGTCCCCTTCCAAGTATTTTCCAATCACCACTGTCTCATTTTTGAAATCGTTCTAAATCCATTCTTTGTGCAATGCCTACATAAGGTGTGAGGGGGTCTATGCTTCCCAATTTTGGACACTTTTGTACACTCTCAAGTGTATTATAAGTTGGTAGAAAGAGAACATGTGCACCTACATAGACGTACGTGCACATACTCACATACACATACGATATGGTAAAATTAAATCTTGATTTACTTAGTGAAAGATGCGAAAAATACACTGAAGTGATTTGGCTACTGGAGCAGATGCAAAATGTTCAGCACTCCACTTCTCACAAAGTGGGAAGCGTGTCAGAGTGGATTAGGACTG